ATTGGAATATTCAACAAGTGTATCTTTTGACGGAAGTTGTGATGGAACAGATGTTTCAGTTTGAGCTTCTTGAGTTGAATCAAAATCTTCTTTATTTTTCTTTTTTCCAGATCCAGATTCCATTGCTAGCTAGAGGTGGGAAAAATTTAAAACTTCGTGCGAATGATGCACATTTTATATGGATGTTGGAACCGGTTTTATTTTCAAAAGAACCGGTTTTAATCATCTTTCAAAACCAGGACCTGTTTAAATCGAACTTAAATAAACCGGTTTTAACCGGAAGCTTGAGTATAAAACCGTGAAACTAGTTTGCAAATGGTAAGCTGATAATCCAATTCGTAAAGTTTTGAGTAATTTAATGAAATAAATGAAATGAGGTCCAAACTTGTTATTATTTTCTAAAAAGTTATAATTGTATGCAGATATTTAAATGTAAACATGTAAACAACTTATCTGCATTCTCATGGCGCCATTGCTACATAATATAATAATTGTTTCAACGAATTGTAATTAAATTCGCGTTACAACGAATTTTTAAAATTTTTGCCTAAATGCAATTTTTTAGATTCGTTAAAACGAGGTTGACTTTAGAACAAATAAACGTAATATTAATAATAACATGAAATCGTAAATAAACATATAAAACTTGGGTCAATCAATTTAAAAATTATTTTAATATATACTAAAACAAAACTAAAGATCTTTAGGTGGAAACAAATTGAAATGTTCACCGTTTCTTAAAATAAACCTGATTAACCAAACAAATCCGGTTTTATCTAATTACTCAGCTAAGCCGTGTAAAATAAATTCCTTGGCTGGCTGATTATATATGGTCATCAATATGGTGTTAATCTGCAAGAATTACACTATATTGAGTCGTTCAATTTTCTTAATATCAAACCGGTTTTATTAAATTGCCAAAAATAAACTGGTTTTATTATTATTATTTAACGAAAAAATTGGATTTTAATTCGATTTTATCCAAAAATTTTTTAGAATTACTGTTTATCATCTTCAGTATTATCACTTTCATTATCATTATCACCATTTTCTTCACCACTTTCTATGCCAATGTTTTCATCATCAATATCATTTTCACTGTCATCATAACTACTACTCTTATTATTTTGTTATCATGCATCAAACCCAAATTTTTTAAAAATATATATGAATGCACTTATAAAAATGTGGGCTACCTACCAACCGTCTGAAACCAAGCCTAAATATTCAGCACTTTTTCAATCTATTCTCTTGTTTCAACAAGAATTTGATCAAGAAATTCATTTGAAAGTTTTTTCCTTCCAGACAAATTGAATGCGGGATGGGATTTTTGCCACAAAGCAAAAGAAATAAACCATATTGATACAGTTCACTCTCTCTATAACGAATCCTCTGTCCCTATATGTAATTTCTCTGCTTTTGGTCGTTATAGAGAGAGAAATTAA